ATCCCAGGACCCTGGGATCATGACCTGAGCCGAAGGCAGACGCTTAACGACTGAGCCACCCAGGTGCCCCATAAACTGGTGGTTCTTGATTCTGGTTACATGTTATAATCACTTGGGGGACTTTGAAAAGATTGCAAATCCCAGGCCTCAGTCTCAGGCAATGACATCAGAACATCTGGGGGTAGCTCTGGCTTTGGTGTTTTTCGGAGAAACTCTGTAAGTGATTCTAACCTGCACCCAGGGTGGAGACCCACTGATAGAAACACAAACATTTTAGGGAGGCCCATGAATATGGCTGCAGAGGTAGGATCTCAGGAAAACTTTTCTTTAGGTGGATGATTTAACTTTGATAGAAAGGCAAGAAGGTCTTCGCTAGGATGGCAGCTTATTTTGTTTCTGTTCTTTCAGTTCCTATGTTTTTATTCTCCCTTCTCATTTTCTAGGTATGTAGGAAATCTTCCAAGAATATTTGACTACTCTCCTTTAGATCCAACACAGGACTTCAACACACAGATGTAAGTGCTGATTGAAAAGTATCTAAAAGTTTTTTAGAGAAGTATCCAGTAAGTGTTCATAATGGTTATTGCTGGGTTGCAGAATTAAAGGCAATTCTCTCTTTTTTAAAATTTTCTGTATTAACAGTGTTCTAAAATGAACACATGTTACTTTTGTTAAGAAGAAAGATAATAATAGTTATTTATAAAGTACTGAGGATGGTCTGAAATGGCATCAGTTATCAAGAAAAATCAAATAAATAAGTTATTTTTGAGTAATCAAGATAAAATGTTCCACCTAAAAGCATTCATAGGTAATGTTAATGTCTCTATGGGGAAACAACAATGACCTTTTTGTTTTTCTTTCTCCCTCCTGTCCAGGACTAAGCTAGGACATGGCCTTCTCTCAGGCCAGTATTCAAAACCTCCAGTGAAATCTGAACTCATTGAACAGGTGATGAAGGAGGAACACAAGGTATGGGTCCCAGTATTTGCCATGTTGATAGGCAGGTAGGAGGGCCTTTACCAGCTAGAATGTGGATTTCCTATGATTTGGCACATGGTAGCTATAAATTTAGCAAGCTGTCAGAATAGCTATTTTGTTTTGGAGTCTAGGGTGTCTGTGTGCTCTTAAAAATTGTGGTAAGAAATAGCTAGGGTTGGTGTTTCTAGTGGCAGTTGTTTTATGGATTATATGTGAATGTCATCATTAATGGTTTTCAGAACACTGTTCTTCATAAAATAGAGCTGAGATGGAAAGAATAAGCCTTATACAAATATAAACATTTTCTCCTTGGTAACATAATCTTGGCCCTTATAATATCTTTCTTCTCCTAAGCCTCAACTTTGTTTGCTAGGATTTTTCAAGAAGCTGGTTGTTAAAGAACAACATACACATTCCTATTCTACCCCCTTCTCCACCCCGCTCCCACCTACAGAACTGAGGATTCTGAGTTTCTGGAGAGGTCTGGGCAATCCTCATTTTTGGTAAGCTGCTAGGGGGTTTGTCGACACACTCAGGTATGAGAAACTCAGTTGGCCGTTCAGCCACTGTTTACTGATAGAATAATTGAAAGATGCACTGCATCTCCTGACAGCCCCACTTGCATTTCCATGTGCCTGCAGAGTGGGCTACCAACCCCTTCCCGGGTGGCTCTGTTGCGCAGCTCCTGAGGGCACTGCTCGCAACCTGGTCTTTTTTGAGTGGTGCCCTTGAAATTCTGCAGTGCACAGCTTACACAGCTGCATTTGGCAGCCTGGCTCATAACACTGCCTATGGCCTGAATGGAGTGCATGCCCCTTTCCCCCACCACCTGCTCTGACCTCAAGTGCTCTGACTTGACTTAGTGGACAGAGCTGTCTCTCAAGTGTTGGCCTCTGTGCTCCCACCTCAAGTCAGCCATCCTTAACTAGGTCAATAGTAGGAGTGGGAAGTGAGTAAACTCTTGTTCATAATGAAGCCAGCTAGTTGGGGAAATAAAGCAACGGAAAGAAGGGAGAGTATGAAGGGAGCATTTAGAGGCAGTGTTTGGAGGTGTGGAGTAGGAAGGGGCTGAAGAGGGTAGAGAGGGAAGTAGACACTCCAAATGGCCAGGCTGGGAGATCAGAGTGGTATGGGGGCCGGAAGATGCATTGCCATCTAGCATGGCAAGATACCGAGTTCCTTATCCATCCAAGACTGGAAGGCCCTCATCTGGGATGCAGTTGAAGGGATGGTTTGGATGTGGGTGGGGTATGGGGGGCACCCAGGCTTCTTCTACCTCTGAGCTCCTGTGAAGCTTTGAAGAGGTGTTGTTGAAAACAGCTTGGACCAACATTTTCTTTTCATCACATTAGGCCTGGGTTTTCATCCATGCTATGCCACTTCTTGGGCCACTTTTGGGTCAGAACCCACCTTCCTTGGTGGAGGAGAAGGAGACTGGATTGGGTCTCAGGGACTCTGGGCTTCCTTTCCAGGCTCTGTAAGGAGCTGTGAGACTGTGGGCAAGTCACATAAACTTCCAATCCCAGCAGTCAAATGGCAGAATTTGTCCAGGTGGTGGTTGTGAATGTTGCAAGTGTGAAGGTTCTCTCTCCCATGTAAATAAAATCTGGGTATATTATGTGCTTGTGGTTGTGTTTTTGGAATCTCCTCATTTGAGAAAATATGGAATGAAAAGTCATCAATTTGGTGATGTTTGTAAGTAAAGTTTGGTTTTGTTAATATTAAAATGTCCTTTTACATTAGAATAAAAATAGTTCTTTTTTTTAAAGATTTTATTTATTTGACAGAGAGAGAGTGAGTACAAGCAGGGGGAGGGGCAGGCAGAGGGAGAAGCAGGCTCCCCGCTGAGCAGGGGGCCCGATGTGGGGCTCGATCCCAGGACCCTGGGATCACAACCTGAGCCAAAGGCAGCCTCCCAACCAACTGAGCCACCTAGGTGCCCCAAAAATAGTTCTTATAAGAGCAAGGCACATTATTTATTCATTCTATGAACAATGACTACTTGGGGCCCTTGCTCCCTCCTCACCATTGGGCTTAGTGACTATTGTGCAGTAGCTTTGTGATCTCTAGGGGCCTGGAGCCTACATGTGGGAACTCCTGCTTTGTGTGGCCCAACATGGGTGATCTGGCAGCATTTGGGCCATATTTGGCCTGTAGGTGTTTTGCTTGGCCCACACATAAATATCTAAATTTCCAGCTTCTCTCTCTCTTTTTTTTCTTTGAGAGAGAGAGAGTGAGTGCAAGTCAGGGGAGAGGGACAAAGGGAGAGGGAGAGAGAGAATCGTAAGCAGGCTCCATGCCCAGCATGGAGCCTGATGTGACGCTCGATCTCATGGCTCTGAGATCATGACCTGAGCCGAAACCAAGAGTTGGATGCTTAACTGACTGAGCCGACCAGGCACCCCAGAACTTCCAGCTTCTCTTAAACAGTCAGACCCTGTGGCAGTTCCAGGCCCATGATAGCAGATGGCTGGAGCTGCGTAGCGGCCCTCCCTTCAAATAGGACACACAGTCCCCGGCTGGCTCCAGTCCCTTTGTGGTTCATGACTTGGCAGGTATGCTATTGTATTTGGGTGTGTGACCTTTGATTTAGATGATCTGTAAAATCCTTTCCTGCTCTGTGGTGCCATGATCTAGTAGTCTTTGAGAAAGAATCCTGAATGTGACCAGTAGTACGGTGTGCATCTTGGGAGTGGTGGGGAAGACCTTTCTAGGTGGGTGGGATATGACTGAGTCTTTGGCTCAGGCATCAATAGGGTCCCTTTAATGTTCAAAATGAGCTTGAATTGACCATATGATTTTCTTTGTGGCTCTGGAGGAGTCAGTTTTAATCTGTTACGTGAACAGACAAGTAATTCATAGTAAAATCTCCATTCCCCTTGATAGTGGAGGGAATTACTTTCTGAGGTGTCAGGATTTTCACTGGCAATTGGTTTCAGAGAAACCAATTTGTGAGACTCTTCTCTCAGGGGTCAGGGGCCCTTTGGTCAGGTGGCCTTGTCCTGGGCCTATGGCGTTTGTGATTGGTAATGTGCCTGAAATGCCCTAAGAGAAGAAAGAAGGTGTGCTAAACCAGAGAAGGGGATGGATCACAAGAGGAATGTGGGGTGGAAAGGAGAGAGAGCAAGAAAGAAGAGTCAGAGCCATGTGGTGGGAGTGCCTTTTTATTGGGCCCCCACCAGCAGCGGTACTAATAACTAAGATTGCTTATGAAAGGCCAAATTCTTTCTGTATGCTCACTAATGCACAAAAAACCTTGCCTGAAGTTCCACAGCCAGCGAGTGGCAGGGCTGGGATTCACACCAGGCAGGCTGGCCCCTGAGTCTGCCTTTGACCTCTACACGATCCTGCTTCCCTGATAGTTGTTCCAGCATTTGCTTCAGGTGTCCAGTGCCTCAGAGTGTGGATGGTGCAGGCGGATGACAAAAGGGGGTCTTTAAAGTTTGCACAATTACCAGGTGGTCCCGGCAACTTATTTCCCAATGCCTCTGTCTTGCATTTCTAGGCTACATGCTTCCTGGTGTTAAACTGGTCTTCCACAGACCAAGGTGAAATCTAGTTTTTATATATGCATTCTTAATGCACATTTTCATCTGTAAAAAGATTTGTGGTATTTGTTTTGGGCACTGCCGTTTCTACATAAATGTGTTGAATTGATTTTTAAAATTAAATTGCATCTGCGGTAGATAAGACCTCTCACTATAAAGGGGCACTTTTCTTTCTTCAAAAAATATATTCCTGTCTTATGCAATCTGAGACCATGCTTTCACACTTTTTAATGCTGAATACCCTGTAATTTATTTCTCCTTCCAAAGATAACATGTTTGAAACAATTCCATATTTCAAACAAACTGTATTTCTTAAGTGACAATTCATTTGATTTCCCTGCTGAAAAATCCTTGACGCATAATTGCTGGTCTGTTTTTGATCAACATGAGATAACCAGTGTTTGACTTTGAGGTGATGTAATTTTACCCCCAAACATGAGAACTTTATTTTCACTAATCTCCATTTTCCTAGGTGTGGCAAATGTAACATTTCTAACTCACTTTTTGAAATAAGAAAAATAACTTGGGGAATGCACTCTGTTCCTTTGGCTTTGGAGATTTGGGGTTTGGATCTAGTTAGGAACTGGGTTAGATCCAAGGTTTATGGTTTAAGGTTAAAAGTTGATATGAACCGATGCCATACATCTGTGTATTAGGGGCAGGCTGGGATGTGTCTACCTTTCTTTTTATTCCTGGAGTTTTACAATGTAAATATCTGTGCAGGTATCGCTCTTTAATGTGATACAAAGCCCCACTTTTGCTGTGTGTGTATTAATTAAAGCATTAGGCTCAGAGGAATGTCAGCGAGGAGTGTCTGGCCACCTTCTTAGTGCAGAGTTAAACAGAAAGTCCTTGTAAGCATTTGGGAAAGATTCTGAACACCGTAGCCCTCTTGCTAATTTTAGCTGATCTGTTTTGCAATTGCTGATGGAGAAAGTAAGTACAGTATCCTATAAATATGACAGGTTCCTTAGGTGGTTGCTATTTTGGAGACGCCGGGGGCTCCCTCCTAATAAAGTTAGTTGTCGGGACTAGCCATGGTTTCAGGTGTAGAGGGGTCGGCTCATGGGTGAGAGTGTGTGCTTCCTGAAGGCAGGTCTGACTTGGTCCAGTCTGGTCACTCCCTCTCCTTGTGTGCGGCAACAGACCCATAGGGGACTTTGGGATGATATCACTGATGCATTGCCAACTAGGAAATATGGTTTCTTTGACTTAGTTCTTTGGTTCTTATTTTGACTTTTGTTTTAAGTATTAACTGCCTTATTCAGAGCCTGGTCATTAAATTTTTTTTTCATTTGCAAATACACATACAAGTAGCATTGTATAGCTTTAGCAATTGCCATTCTGCGGGTTTGGTTTCAGTAATCCCCCCTAGGCTCAACTTTTCCTTCCCCTTCTCTTCCTCTGTCCTCCCCTTCCTGTCCCTCCCCTTCCCTGCAGCGTGTTAACACAAAATCCAAGCATCCTTCTTGTCACCTGTAAATGTTAGCACACATCTGTGACTAGAATACCTTCTTTTTTTTCCCCACATAAAAATCATGTTAAAAGTTGTTTCAAGTGTTAGAAGCACACAAACAAAATTAATAACCATTCCTCAGCATCATCCAATACCCAGTCCATGTCCAGATTTTCCCCTGCAGTGTCAAAGATGACTTTTATAAGTCCCCCTCCTTTTCTTTCTGCGAGCTATTGATTTGTGGAAGGAGCTGAATCATTTGTCCCAGGATTGTTTTAAAGATTTTTGCCTTGTTCAGCTTGTGTTTCTGATAAGCTGGAAGCTAGATCTGGAAGACTTTCTACTATACCAGATACGAAAGGAACGTACTATTAGTTGAGTATGGGAATTAGGGGGACTTCCTCTGCAATCAGGTAGAATAGGCGTGGGACATGGGTGCAGGCAGCCAGCCCAGCTGATGATCAAGGCATTAACTGTGGAGTAGTCTAGTTTGAACTAAAAAGCTCGAACCCAGCTGTGAAGTTCAGGAGCTGGTCTGCAGTGTGACGTGGGGAGGGAGAGATAGCATCTCTCTGGTTAGGAAGCCTTTTCAAATAGCTTCCCAATGATTAGCAGTTCTCAAGCTATAGCTTGAGGATTGAACAAAGGATTGAACAAAGGATTAAGGAATTGAACAAAGGATTAAGGAAGGTCAGTCAAGAGAAAACAAGGAAACAAAATGGGTAGAGAAAGAAAAGAGGTGTGGCTAGTGAAGGAGGCTGGGCACAGTCCAGGTGCAGGGCTGAGGTTCTGGGGATTTCACCACAGTCCCTGTTGAGACTGCTCCCAGTTACACGACCACATGGTGGCAAAAATCAGCAGCCAGCTTTTCTGAGTTTCCTGACTTGTTAAACTTCCCAAGGCAGCTGCTTTGATGGGGACTGGCAGCCACATCAAGTCGAAGCCCGGCTTGCAGGAAGAAATGCCATCAGCAGCAGAGAACGAGTGCGTGCTTATGTAAAGGCCTAAAGAGAGAGGCACAAGGTGAAAAGATGGGATTCCACGTGGTGCCCCTCTGCACTGCCAAGGGTGGAGGAATAGTTGCTGGACTGACCTGTAATGTTGGCTCCAGAGGCACGTGGGTTTGAAGAGGGCTTACTCAGAGTCCAAGACATACCGTCTCCCTTTCTCAGCAACTGGTAAGAGGGACTCAGGGTCATCAGAGATGAGAACTAGTGTGTGAAAGCGGTATTAAAACATGGGATAAAAAGAGAGAGACAGACAGACAGACACACAGAGACAGACAGAGAGACGGAGGGACAGAAAGTGACTGACTTTTGTAGCTGTGTGATGCTGGGCCAGTCTCTTAATGCTGCTTTGCCTCAGTTTCCTCATCTGTCAAATGGAGAGAATCATCATCATCAATCATCATCATCAGGGTAAGTGAGTTAAGCAAGATACATGTATTACAAGGTACTCAGAACTGTGCCTCGCACCTAGTAAGTATTCACCCACGTTCCTAGAGTAATGTCTGACCTGGATGAATAAATGTTAGCCGTTATGCAAAGGCATTGTTTTTGCATGCTGTGTTGGCTGATGCAATGCAGATAGGCATCAGCAGTGTGAGTGAAGGAGTTACAGTTGTTACATCATTTTCAGGAGGTGTACATACAGGTAAAATTAATTGTCAGGTATATAGTGGTCTTTACCTAGCATTGACAGCACATCTGAAGCCAGGCGTGTGTGCAGACTGGGCCATTTATGTATAGTTTCCATGTCCTCGGATGCCCACATGCTGCCACTTTGGGGCGTTGTCCTCTAAGAGCTGCTGGCACTGTTCCAGGTCCTGGGCGGCATCCCTCAGCATTTGCCATAGATACGTGTGTTGTCTCTCATTTCCCCATGGTCTCTCAGCTCTCCAAAGGCAGAATCCCCAGTGGTCTGCGTGAAGTAGGTGGTTAGTAAATACTGGATGACAAGGTCAGCTGTATATTCAGCAAGACAGGACAATTCACCCGAGTTTTATTAGAAACATTGCTTGGAACATACGTGCTGGGGAGCTGCAGGGAGGTGCATAACGCAGTTTTCCCATCCCCTGTTGCATCTGACTGCGTAATTGTGCACACCTCCCGTGGTCTCTGGACCCTAGCTATAAAATGAGGATAACGGCAGTACCTTCTCTGCAGGGTTATTGTTGAGTATGAAATGCAGTGACAGGTAACACTGTTATTAGATGCGTGAACTTGGAGGGGACTCAGGAATTAGCTTTATCATGAGCCCATTTCTGTCCTCAGTGGCGATGTGGACTCATCCCACTCTGCTTCTTCAGAGCATTGCAGATAGATTGCTTAGGTTTCCAGTGATTTCCTGGAGATTACCAGCATTAAAAAAGTCCAGTTCACATCAAAGGCAGCTTAAAGCTTCTCTCCCCTACCAAGCTTGGGGGTCTTGGAAACCAGCAGTGGGCAAGGGTTGGCATCAGCATCCTCTGGCCCCACCAGAGTCAAGCAAGGACCACGGGATGGAGACATTAGACAAGAGGCAGAGCCTTCCGCTGAGCTAGGGCGTTTGGCTCCCTCCTGGCTGCCATGGCTAGCTTTTTGTAGGGCCACATTAGTGGCTCTTTAGAGATGTCCCTCTTCCCTGCTTGTCCGCTTAGGGACCTCCCTGGGACCTCTCCTGATGATCTGTCCAGCTGACCTCTGTAGCCCCCACCTCGGCTCCTGCCTCAAGTCTCCTCCGCCAGCCGACCTTCCATCGTCTTACGCAGTGTCCTTTCTGAAGGAGCCTGACAACCTTCTGAGCTATCCTTCCGGTCCCTGGGGAAGTTCATATATCCTTGTCCTCCAGAGTTGTCCCTGCCACCCGCTCTTCCCGCTCTGTCATCGTCATCCTGGCATCTGCTGCCAGCCTCCTCCAGCGTCTCCAGGCGAGGGGCAAGCTCCTGGGAACAACCGTGCTCTGATCCAGAGACAGCCCAGGGCAGATGCGTGAGCCTGAGCACCTCTGCAGTGGTTACCGGGGATGTGTGGTGTCATTTCCTGTTCTTGCAAGGACAGGCATACCTCGGAGAGAACCACCACAGCAAAGGGATTGTTGCAGTCAAGTGAGCCAAATGAATTTTTTGGTTTCCCAGTGCATATAAAAGCGATGTTTATGTGATACTGTGGTCTATTAAGTGTGCAATAGCAATGTGCATACCTTAATTAAAAGCACCTTATTGCTGAAAAAGGCTGACCATCATCTGAGCTTTCAGTGAGTTGTAATTACTGACCACAGATCACCCTAACAAATACAATAATAATGAAGAAGTTCGAAATATTTTGAGAATGACCAAAATTTGACACACAGACACAAAATGAGCAAATGATATTGGAAAAATGGCACCGATAGACTTGCTTGATGCAGGGCTGTCACAAACCTTCAATTTGTAAAAAATACCATATGGTCAAATCACAATAAAGCGAAACACAATCAAACGAGGTATGTCTGCATCCCCGTCTCTATTAGAGCTTCTCTCCTGCTCTCTCATGGGGAAGGAAGGGAGGTGTGGAGAGCGCTCCTCTCCGTTAACTTCCTTCCGAGGACCCACTCATGCCGCCTCTCTAGCCTGCTCTGAAGTGGGCTCTCACAGCAAACCCTGTGAAGATGGACCTCATAATGCCTTTTCTTAGAAAGTGAGGGTGTTTATCATGTCTCGTTAGTGTGATGCCGGCTCCACAGGAAACATCCAGTGAATGCTGGCTCTTCTCATTGTTTAGCTTCTGTGGGCTTCAGTTGTCTCATCTGAAAATTGGGGCTTATGGTAATCCCTACTCTGCTGGCCGCTTAGTGCCATGAATGTGTAGGAAAGTGTGGTAAATTTGTTTTATTTTGGGGGCGCCTGGGTGGCTCAGTCGGTTGAACGTCTGCCTTCGGCTCAGGTCATGATCTCAGGGTCCTGGGATCGAGCCCCGCATTGGGCTCCCTACTCAGCGGGAAGCCTGCTTCTCCCTCTCCCGCTCCCCCTGCTTGTGTTCCCTCTCTCGCTGTCTCTCTCTCTGTCAAATAAATAAATGAATCTTTAAAAAAATTTTTTTGTTTTATTTTTATATTTCAGCCTCAACAGAATGGGATCTCTCCACGCATGTTTAAGGCCTTTGTCAGCAAGAGCCACCCAGAATTCTCCTCTAATAGACAGCAGGATGCCCAGGAGTTTTTCTTGCACCTGGTGAATCTAGTAGAGGTGAGTGAGTCAGTCTTCGGAAATGCTCGAAAGGTGGTAAGAAGGGTGCACAGTGCCCGGGGATGGTCCCCTCTGGCAGTCCCCTCTGGCTGGGCCGGGATGCCCACCCCCAGCCCTTTCCTGAATCTGTCACAGTCCCAGCTGGTGCTGCATCGGCGTGAGGCTCTCTCTGCTCAGCCCGTGTGGCGTGATCGCTGCTCATGCCCTGTTTTCTAGCACTTCTGGATCTCCCTGTTCTCCTTTTAATTTGTAATTAAAGGAATGTTTGTCCATTATTTCATTCAAAGTTCTTTTTGGTCTCCATGACAAACCTCCTTAAGAGTCCAGTGTGGTATTTGGTGTCCTTGTGCCACCACTCAGAGATGGTCACACTTTGCTCCCAGCAGAGCTGAATCACATTCTGTGCTGTGGTTTTTAAAAGCTCCCGAGAATTCGTGATTAAAGGCTCTCTTCTCCCTCTTAAAAAACAACTCCTTTTTTTCTGATTACAAAAATGTTCTCTGTGGAAGATATAAAAAGGCACAAAGGAGAAAATCAAAATAGCCAGTGGCAACAGCCCCTACAAATAAGGAGTGCTACCATTTCGGTGTCTGACCCACCAGACACTTTCCCGGTGCATTTATTGATTCTCTCCATGCTGTTTTATAAGCATTGCTTTCCACTTAACGTGTTCTGAACGTTTTGCCACATCATTACATATTTGAATGTAGCGTGATTTCTTTTTTGTGTATAATTTACACCAATGCATTTCCACGACCCCATCATATGTGCCTTAATTTTTGCAGGGCAGTCCTTTACTCTCCCCCCTTCTCTTTAGTCTGGCTCCCTCACCCCCTTTCTTCTGATTCCCACTAGGTCAGTTCCTCTTTCACAACTGTTAGTGGCTGCATGATGTTCATTCACATGATGAACTGTAGTTTATTTAACCCGTCCCCCGTTTTTGGATATACGCCTGCGTTTTGTTATTAAAGTACTCTGGTGAACTGTCGTGCCCAGAGGGAATGCTTCGTAGCACCAGATCCTTATGCCAGATTTATGTATTCTCTTTTGTGCCAATTTTTATTCACGGCTTAATATGCATACGTTTACTAACCTGATCTAATCTAACCTTCAGAGGAACCGCATTGGCTCAGAAAACCCAAGTGATGTTTTTCGGTTTTTGGTGGAAGAACGTATTCAGTGCTGTCAGACGCGCAAAGTCCGCTACACGGAGAGGGTGGATTACCTGATGCAGTTGCCTGTGGCCATGGAGGCAGCAACCAACAAGGGTAACGGTCCCAAAGTGGGAACTTGGCGATGTGCTTCCTCATACATGCAAACAAACCCTCGGATCGGAGATAACGTGGTTTAGTCACTGCTGAGTCACGTCAGGAGGAGACCCAGCCCAGACAGTGTCTGGTTCGCATGTCTCTTTTCCTCTTTTCCCCAGTCCCATGTGCCTTTCTTGTGAGAAGAGTCCGATGCGTCGCGGGTTTTTGTTGGAGGGATTTTGGGTAGAACTTATTTTAGTGCCCATAAATTTGACCAATTGGTTGGCTTGAAGTCAGCTTACTTTGGGGGAACATTGTTTGTAATTATAGATGTGGAAGATTCTTTAACTAAGTTAGCACTCATGAGTTGTGCCATAAATTCTGGGGAAAATGATCAGCATTTTTCGGGGTGAGACGTTCTAGCAGCGATCTCTTTTTTTTTTTTTTTAAGATTTTATTTATTTATTTGACAGAGAGAGACACAGTGAGAGAGGGAACACAAGCAAGGGGGAGTGGGAGAGGGAGAAGCAGGCTTCCCGCGGAGCAGGGAGCCCGATGTGGGACTCGATCCCAGGACCCTGGGACCATGACCCGAGCCAAAGGCAGTTGCTCAACAACTGAGCCACCCAGGCGCCCTAGCAGCAATCTCTTGAAATAATCTGACTTTGGCATCTGAGTATTGAAGACGCCCCCTGTGGGAGGTGCAGCAGGGAAGGGCTCTTGTAGGAGCGAGGCCCATTAGAAGGGTCTTTGGACTTTAGAAGCAGGAAGGAGGTGGAGGAACTGCTGGGGTCTCAGGGGAAGCTTCCTTCAGTCAGTCTGTGTGGTTCTTCCCGGGCAGAATAGATGAATGGTATTTCTTAGAATTAACATTTAGAAGCAGAAAAAGGCAAAATGTCTGCTATATTGCTTATATCCCGTGAACTGGTCATTTCCGTAAATGTCAGTAACTCGCTTTTGTGGCCTTTTCCCCTCTTTTTTTGAGGGGGTCAGTTTGTTGTGCTAATTGAAAAGCGATGATTATGATGATTTTAAGATGAAACGATTTCCTTTTTCTATAAGCTTGTGCAGCTTTTGGCCAGTTTCTAAATTCTTACCCATAAAGTAGAAATGAGGGTAGCGGTCTGTGGTTTGTTTCCTTTTTAGAATTAGGCTTAATTGTTTTCTCTTGCCAGCCTCGGGGATGTTCCACTCAGTTCTGTGATCCTCTCTAACTCACTGTTTATAATTTATGAGTGGTAACTATTCTTTTTCAGAAAGATTTATAATTTAGTCCCTGGAAATTGATTGCTGGGACACCTAATACTGGCATCCTAGATATAGGTGCATCATAAACTGATTGTGGACTGGACAATGAATTTTAAACCCATATTCAGATGTGCTTAAGAAAACACATGGGTGCATAAGGGTGTCTAAAAACTGATAAATCAGGAGTGTTTTTTTTTTGGTAAACAAAAGGAATTCCCAGAAAGACCTCATCAAAACTATATAAAATTTTGACTTATAGGCAGTTTTCAAGAGCAGATCTGCTGACTCCTGGGAAGTTGGTGGTGTGCTGTCTTCTTTTTCCCTTGGTATTGAATCGTTTGAGCAGGAATTGTGTAGAAAGCCTTCTAGGTTGGTAGCTCTGCTGTCTGACCTTGTGCGTAACCTCAACCTGAAGTTTTCTGGGCAGTGTTGGTTAGAATCATGGGCTGAGTGCAGTGGAGGACTGTGGTCCCTATAGTCCATCTCGCTCCTTGGTCCGCACCCTCCATGAACTCTAATCAGAATGGAGAGATGACCCTTGGGTCTCCTTTGGTGTGAAATTCTGTGGTGTGAAGACTTCGTGATTGGAAGGTGGCATTTGGGTAATCCCAGCCTTGACTCTGGACAAAGGGAAGACCAGGTTCCCGCCTCACTTCCAGCACATGTGAGATCAGGACCTCCGATCTGGGCTGGAGTTCACAGATCCCTCCTGTCAGTCTCAAAGGCAAATAGGCAAAAAATTATGAATGGCTCATGCAGCCTGTCGGCGCCACCCTAAAGTCTGCTCGACAATAGCCTTTCAGCAGGCTTTTCTGGATCCGTGAAGGGCAACAAGTGAGCAATACTGCCCCGGCCCAGACACTTTCAGGAAGATTGGCCCAAGGGGATGTTTTCCGCTTCAAGAAGATGGAGTGAGTACAAGGTCATTCGTTTGCTCTTTTACTCAGATGAACTGATTGCCTATGAGTTAACGAGGAGGGAGGCAGAAGCAAACAGAAGACCCCTTCCCGAGTTGGTTCGCGCCAAGATACCATTTAGTGCCTGCCTTCAGGCTTTTTCTGAACCGGAAAACGTAGATGATTTCTGGAGCAGCGCCCTACAAGCAAAGTCTGCGGGTGTGAAGTAAGTGCGCATGTGTGTGCGCTTGTGTGTTTGTGCTTGTGTGGTGGTAGTGGTGTGAGGAGGGGCCCCTGAGGGGTACGGACTGGGTAGGGGAGAGGTGGCGGGGTGTTGTACGAGTCTGTGCATGCTTGTTCATGTGTAGTGAGATGGGGTTATGATCCGTGCAACCCTAATGGTCATAGAGCTCACTTGTGTGAGGCCTGTCCAAGAAACCAGGCTTATAGTCTGTGTTGTGTGTTAGGGAGGGAATGTCTTCTCTTTTCTTTTTTTTAAAGGAAGGTTGTGGTTTATCCTTTATTAGGAATTTTTTTTTTTTTTGCCAAGAACCCCCCCAAAGCCCCCCACCCCCACCACCACATGGCAAGAATGATATTAAGAGATTACAGAAATACTTATGACAGTCTTCAATATTTAGCTCCACTATGATAGATTTTAATTCCATAATTAAAGATTTGGCTTAGCACGTGGTGACCAGGGCTCTCAGGGCATCTCAAAGAGGACATAGTGGGCATTGTTCAGATGAGCTGCTCAGGATGTAGAAGATGCTCTGTTTCCACATCGTACACCTCATTGTCAGGTACATAAAACATTTTTCTCCACTTGATTAATTGATTTTATACAGTCAAGTCCTTGCCAACGCACAGCATACAATTGGAAAAAGAGTACTCATAGAGGCATAAAATGAAGGGAGGTCTGAAAGTTTGGCTCTGGGAATTTTACTCCTTTTAGGTATTCTTTGGCCGTCTGTCCTCCTAGCGAAAGTTGAGCTCTAGTTCATGCAAAGGGGTGTGAAGGCTGAAGAGCTACTGCTAGGTGTTTTTTATCACCTCAAGCAGCAGTCTGACTTAAATCACTTGTTCTCTGCAATAGACATCGCTCAAGATTCCCCTTTGTTTCAGGTGATTGACTTCATATGTTAAAAATGGGAAAACACAAAGAATTTATTTCAGAAGTTTAAAAAAGGCCGTATTTTCTTAAAATAATTTTTAAAAGTGTTGCTCATATCCAAACGAGATTATTAGTCCATTCAGTTATCAGTTATCCATTGTGGAGTAAGTTTTCATCCTCGGATTGCTCGGTTATGGGATCTGTGTGAGTATGTGTGTGTGTGTGTGTGTGTGTCCTTGCGGAGAAACGTCGGTGAGTTGGCGTGTTCAGTGTGTGAGATTCATTGCACTGCAACCTGGAGCCATCATTGGGCAGTTAGACATCTACACGGTATCCTAGCAGCGGACCCAATTTCTTTCATTGTTTTCCCCCCAGATTTATTGAAATATCATCGACAGTATTGAGATATTGACATATATTGATACATATTGAGATAAAATAATATTGTGTAAGTTTAAGGTGTACAATATGATGATTTTTTTTTTTTACTTTAATTATTGACAATAGGTGGGAGGTTTCTCAAACATGGATCCCTTTCTCTTTGCGCTTTAATTCTGATTCTGTGTGGGACATAGAAGTGATCAGGGGACTTGGCCAACTAGAAAGTCCCCAGCATCAGGTGTAAGCTGTAGTGTTCTTCATTTCCCTGTTTGCTTAGCCACCTTTTTCTGCTCTTCAGAAAAGTAGCCTCGTGTCTTAGAAGTGTAAGTTCTGACATACTCTCTGGGCCTGCAGGAAGGAGCCTTCTCATCACTTGGAAAAGGCCCATTGTTAAAATGGAGTTGGGAGGCATTAGCTTTCTAGAGACAGAGGCTCTCACCCCAGGGCAGGTGGTCAGGAGATCTGGATTCATCTCCTGTGTCCACTTCCCAGCTTATGTTCTATCCTAGGGCAAAGTCACCACCCAATGTCCTTCTTCCATCTGTAATGGAGGAATGATGCTTGCTTACCTGGTTTTCTCCTCCAATACTACGAAATATTTAATTGTAGGCAGTGCTAATGTAACTGTCTAGGGGAGGGGTTTCTGCTTTCTCTAATCCTTAACAGTAGATATTAAATGTATTTTCCTTTTCCTCTGTCTTTTATATGTATACATGTTCTCATGGGTTTTATGTATATGAAAAAAATTCATACTGGATGTATCCGGTTGTTAATAATTGAAAACTGGTCTTTGTGGAAAAGGAGGAAACATGTTCTAGGTTAGTAAAGCAACTACATTTTTTGTCCATTTATCATTCCAGGTCATGTGTTAAGCACTTACTGTCAATTATCATTTAATCCTCTTGGTATTACTCTGGGGTAGGTGCTATTATTCTCCCCATTTTATGGATGAGGAAATAAAAAGAGAAGTAATTGGCCAATAAGTGGCAGGCCTGGAATTCATTCAGATTGATTGAGTTCCAAGTTTAAACTCTTTTTTTTAAAGACTTTATTTATTTGATAGAGAGAGACACAGCAAGAGAGGGAACACAAGCAGGGGGAGTGGGAGAGGGAGAAGCAGGCTTCCCGCTGAGCCAGGAGCCAGATGCGGGGCTCGATCCCAGGACTCTGGGATCATGACCTGAGCCGAAGGCAGACGCTTAACGACTGAGCCACCCAGGCACCCCCCAAGTTTAAACTCTTAATCCCTCTGTTATATAGTACCCCATATTCCTGATCATGCTTGCTTATACTCATATCCTTGTAATTCTTATGTAGCCTTGCATATTCCTTATTAGGTCTTATCATGTTTCAAATATTAGTTTTGAGGAAAGCAGTTCAGTGGATTCCTAAAAGATTTTTTTTTCTTTTTCTTATTTCTAGCAATATAGACATGATCTCCTTACTATATTAGTTTGGGGCCTTGAATTTTTCTTGTGTTAGACCCAGAGCCTGAAAGGCCAGGAAGAGGCAAAAGATGTTCGTTTTGTAGATCTTTGGTTAGTATGGACCAGACATAAAGACTCTTGCCTTAAATAGTCCTGAATGGACAGTTTCTGGGGAGAATATTAGTGTTTGGAAATTTCATTCATTAGCAAGTATTATTGCTCACCTGGAATATTCTAGGCAATGAGTTGAACAAGACCTAGCTCCTGCCGTCAAGCAGCTCATGGGTTAAGGATCAATAGGGAGAGATTTTGTCTTGACTTTTATCGTTTATGAAGAGGAGAGCACAGTGTGGGGTTCCAGAGCACAAGCTTTAGGTGGATGAGCAGTGTTTGAATCCCCAGTGTAGAACTTACTGTTACCTGACCTTGGCCAAGTGACCCTAAGCCGCTGTTTCCTTCTCTGTAAGCCTTGATGATAATAGCACTTTCTTCATAGGGTTGGGGTGAAGAGTGAGATTAACTCTGCAAAGTGCTTTGTATACCGCCTTGTGCAGACTAAGTGTATGCCGTAACTGTTATAACCATTGTTTCTATCTTTCCTTTCCTTTTTTTGGCCTTGGGTTATACAGTTTGACTGTGGTTGATTAATTATCGTATTTTCAACATATTTAATGGAAAGGATAGAACTATATTTTTTTTAGTTGCCAGGTTTTCAATACAATAGACAATCTTAATTTCACGGAGAGGGACAGCTTGTATTTTTTTCTTATTAAGGCTTTTGTAGTGTTTTTGCCTCCGTTGTAATTAGTGAACAATTGACATGATAATGATAACAGGTCGTCAATAGACAACACAATAGTGTTGTCAGGCACTGTTCTAAGCACTTTGTGTCCTGACTCATTTAGTTCCCATAGCAGTTTTTGGAGGTAAATTTGCTGTGTGTCTACCTAGATCTTTTTGAATGATTTACATTCTATTGGTCTTTATTAAATACATAATTTTTCAAGAAAAATTTTAATTTCCAGGAATGAATTTTAGGAATAAAAGAGTAAGCGGTGCATCATTTCCAACTTTGCTGGATTTCAGTAACAGACTTGATGTCCCAAACCTGCAATTAATTAATGCAAATTATTAATTTTGACATTATTTTGAGCAAATATATATTGAGTGCTTACCACCTGTGTGATTCAATTTGAGGCCCTGTAGAGGCTACAGAAATGAATAAAGCGCATTTATCCAACAGGGCAAATATAAATGTGGGTGTCATCTAATCTGATTTCTGGTACTCTCAGGTTGGCAGTTACCCACAACAAAAGGGTGTGCTAAACCCTGCCTCCAGTTCCCTGCTTTGCCCCTTGCCCCGTGGTATCACCAACTGATTTACTCACCCAGCTACTGACCACAGCAACTGCAAGAGTCTTGGGGCTTCTGAACCACATTTTGGAGATCATTGATTTACTGATGACTTTTGGCTGATCTCACTGTTACATATTTTCCAGCTTTTAAGTTGATGTGGTAAGAGGAAGAGATCAATTAGAAAGGTGACATTTTTACATTAGTTGAAAATACTGGATGGAGTTTGTTGGGTTTTGGTGAAATTAGGACTTGGCTATATTTAAATAAGAATGATGTTTATTGCTGCTTCTCAGAAGATAGGAAAACCTAATTAGAGATAATATGATAATTTCTGAAGAATGAACCAGGATAACAATAGATAAGTTCCTTAGGATGTTTAAGCTCCTTTTTTTGAAAGAACTCCCTTACATTATTGCTTATACCCTTCCATTGTCCTTGTGAGGGAGAATTTGAGATCCAGAGAGGTTAAGTGACTTGCCTGGGGCTTTTGGCCAGGCAAAAGGGCAGGGCAGTCCAAGTCAATGTCCAACACCTGGTGGATTCTAGCTCTTCTATGACAAAATAATCATGCTAATTCCCTAGTTATAATATATATTCTAGTGTGCCAAGTGGTTTCACATCATTTTATGAACATTGCGTAGCCCTGGCAGGTAGATATTATTAATAAATCTGTTTTGTAGATGTGAAAGTGGAGCCTCAGGGAGGGTCAGTGATTTGTTCACATTTGGAGTGAATTATGTAGCATATCTTAGACCCAAATCCACATCTTTTGACCCTTTTTTTGGATAGTGCTCTGTCCCTGTACTATGGTTTCTCTTCTACACTAGGGGGCAGCAATGCACTTGTATTTGCTTCCTGAATTCTGGGCCGATGCATTCCAAGTAGAAGGCAATGACTTAGAGATCGTGGGGAAGGTATTCTAGAATCTTTTATTTTAAAAGATACATACAGTATTTGCCTACAGCTTATTTTCTTTTTTACATATACGTACTCTATCCACATTGACACTGACATAGAAATGGTTGTTATAAACAACAGGATACATGTTGAGAGAATGAGCTGGAACCAGGGCATGAATTTGGTGTACTGGGTGAATAGTCTGCATAAAATTGTCAAACCAAAGTCCAGGCAATTCCTGAAAGTTTGAAGGAAAACTCGAGATATTGACCATATGTGTTAATTTAAAAATTTAAGGTTCAGATTTAGATATTTTATTTTTATTTTTATTTTAAGATTTTATTTATTTATTTGACAGAGAGAGACACAGCGAGAGAGGGAACACAAGCAGGGGGAATGGGTGAGGGAGAAGCAGGCTTCCTCCTGAGCAGGGAGCCTGATGCGGGGCTTGATCCCAGGACCCTGGGATCATGACCTGAGCCGAAGGCAGACGCTTAACGACTGAGCCACACAGGCACTCCCAGATTTAGATATTTTAGATACTTAACTAAAATATCTAAATCTGAACCTTAAATTTTTAAATATATATGTATATGTATGTGTGTATATATACACACACATACATACATACCCCTTTAGGATCCATGGGTTTTAGGTACAATAATATTTTAATGAGGCTTTGGCATTTCTAATAGTCAACCTCAACCAAAGTTCCAATGAACCCTCTTCATGCCAACTTTGTGCGGTAAGATAGTGATTCTCTGTGGGAGGGGAGGTTAGGGGTATGTCAGGATCGCTTGGGGAGCTTTTCAAACCACACATATAAACACAGACCACACGCATGCCTGCACACTCCTGCAAATGTAATGTGTATGTATACACACACACACACACACACACACAATTGACCCTTGAAACAACACAGGTTTGAACTGTGTGAGTCCAGTGGGCTTTTTACAGTACAATGCTATATTTTCTCTAGCTTATTTTATTGTAAGAATACAGTATATAATACATATAACCTAAAAAATGTGTGTTAATTGACTCTTTATATTATTGGTAAGGCTTCTGGTCAGCAGTAGACTATAAGTAGTTAAGTTCTTGGGGAGTCAAAAGTTATATGTGGATTTTTGACTGCATGGGGGGTCAGCACCCCTAACCTCCGCATTGTTCAAGGGTCTACTCTACTAAACTCTAGCAACGGTTTTAGAAAAAACAAATGTCTATGGTTGAAGAATACTTTTCAGAAACACAAAGTGCCACAGCAAATAAAAGTGTAATTTTGCAACATGCTCCAGATCCTTCCCAAGGGACACCATTGTCCTCCGGTAAACACTTCGTCCTTGTGAAAAGGCCAGGACGAGTGACTGGGAGCAGGTGCGTGTGTGTCGGCCTGTGTGTGTTTGTGTGTCCCTCCTCCTCAGTGCAGTTGCTGGAACTGCCAGGTATGCCTTGGACAACGCTTGTGATGCTTCATGAACTGTATTCACGATTCTTATTGCCTTGTTTCATTGATCTAATCCCCTTGTGTTTCCCAGAACATCTCGCTTTGCCTCATTCCCTGAATACTTGGTAGTGCAGATAAAGAAGTTCACTTTTGGTCTTGACTGGGTTCCCAAAAAATTTGGTAGGTATCTTTTGCATGCTTTCGCTTAACACATCAAATTAGCCATTGGAACAAAATGGCGCATGAAGGGGCCCGTGTGGTTGGCTGTCAGAAATCGTTCCATTTCATTCTTTTTCCATCATCCCCACCTTTCTCTTTTGAGTCAAGAGTATTTGATACGCACTGACAATGAAAATCACCCCATGTTACCCACCCCTCTGATAATGCATGTTGGAATGACTGGACTCTTAAGAGTGAAAATCGGATCCCCACGTTATCAAATCAACAATGCTTTCCAAACTTAACATGCATACAGATTACCTGGGATCTTGGCAGAATGCAGGTGCTAATTCAGCAGGTCTGGGGGTGGGAGGGCTGGGATTCTTTACTTCCCACAAGCTCCCCAGTGATACTGATGCTGCTGGTCCAAAGCCTGCACTTGGAGGTGCAGGTGATTGAAGATACATGCTCCCCTTATTAGCTCTCCTCGGCCTCCGAAGCAGGCAGGTGTGGCTAATGACAGTCTCTTACATCATGCAAATTTTATTAATAATAAAATGAGTATAGTCAGTTGCTTTAAATCGTCAAAAAAGAGATTTGACTTGGGTTTCATTGGGCTTTTTTCTTGCTAATTTTCAAGGCCCTTGACCATTGTTGGAGATTAGAGTTTTCCGGGCAATGTTTAAGAACCTTTTCTCCATCATCAGGATCCAACGTCAAGGTGTTACTAGGCTGTCCTCCGTGCCACGGAAGGACACATTTCTCAAGCAAGTACCTCAGACTGTTTGCCACGCTTTTAAAGGTTTTATGTTTCTGAGCACTTAAAAAACAACTCAGGCCTTACACTGGTTAATTAAGCATTCACCGGCTCATCTGGAGAGGTCAGGTAAAAAGAATGTAAAATTGGCTGGTTTCCCTGGGAACCTCCAGCACTCAGTTGACATGGCACTTGTTTGCCACGTGACAGGATGGAGGGCTGTGACTGATTCTGCGGCAGATCTTCGATTTTCCTGGTGGAATGATTTTGTGGGCAGGATGCTCATCACTCAGCCTTTTCTCTGTGGACCTGAGAAGTACCTGAGAGAGGAAACTGCTTTCTTCTAAAGGCTTTCACCTGCTTTGGAAACAGCGTTCTTATTTTTCTCTGCCTTTGGAATTTCCGTAAAGGATAAAAAATTCAGATCAGATTTCATAGACTTGCTGAATTTAAAGGAGCCTCAAAGCTCGCTTTAATGAACCTGAATTTCTCTGTGGAGAACAGTTGTATTGATTTTGTGGATCAGGCAGTATGTTTGTTTTTGCTGTCCCCTGAGATTAAGAAAAAATTTTTTTTAACTAAGCTCTTTCTTTGGGTTGTTGTTTTAAAATAGGATTTGTGTACTGGGCATCATAACTGGTTTTGGGGATAGTATTTTCAAGTTCTGTTTGCTAGCCCGGGAGACCTATCCCACACCAACATTTGGACCCATTTTTCATTATTATTGTATCTGAATATAACACTAAATCTCAACAGGCTCTTAGACCGATAAATTTTGTATTTGATTAAGTCGGCCCAATAACAACTGACCTGAGAAGTTAAAAAAAATTTCCTAAGAGTAATACACTTGAGAATGAATTTATTTCTTTAAAACTTCATTCTTTATTAACTTGGTGAGAATGATCACAGTGCCCATCATGATCTCAGAAAAGGCGTAATCTAGGGGCTGCAAATTCAACTGCCTCATATGAACAATGTAAATGACAGGAGTACATTGGATGTAAGAAATGTGTAGCCTACCTATCTTGGTCTTTCTTGGATATTTCCACTTTGGATAAAGACGTGGCTTAGAAAAACATTTCTTTACCATAAGAATCAGAATCACAATATGATGCTCAGGGTCATGGGGGCAATTGGGAGCAGTGGGGTCTGTGCCCTACACTCTTTAGGGCACGTACTGTCTAGAGTGGAAGCTGAAGATCAGCCCCAGGGCAGTTGTTACCATATAAGAATATTTGTTTTTCAAAATAAGCTGGAAATACAGGTTTTTATTTTTATTTATTATTATTTTTTTATTTTTAAAGATTTTATTTATTTAATTGAGAGAGAGAGAGAATGAGAGACAGAGAGCATGAGAGGGAGGAGGGTCAGAGGGAGAAGCAGACTCCCCGCCAAGCAGGGAGCCCGATGCGGGACTCGATCCCGGGACTCCAGGATCATGACCTGAGCCGAAGGCAGTCGCTTAACCAACTGAACCACCCAGGCACCCTGGAAATACAGGTTTTTAAATGAAATCTTCTGATTTAAAAATTGGAATTTGTTGCCAACATTTTTTTTTTTAAAGATTTTATTTATTTGACAGAGAGACACAGCCAGAGAGGAACACAAGCAGGGAGAGTGGAAGAGGGAGAAGCAGGCTTCCTGTGGAGCAGGGAGCCTGATGTGGGGCTCGATCCCAGGACCCTGGGATCATGACCTGAGCCGAAGGCAGACGCTTAACCATCTGAGCCACCCAGGCGCCCCTGTTGCCAACATTTTAAAAACATCAGACATTCTGTTTGCTACAGTTGGTCTTTGGGCTCTCAGTTTGCAACCTCTGGCTTACCTCTGGCTTGTTCAGTGTGAAATGCTCTATACTTTCCCCCTGCTTCTCCATTAAATCTAGCTAGGCTTAGTGAGTCTACTGGTCCAGGGATCTACTCCAGGGGACTGAAAAGCATCGCTTAGCTCTGCCTAGACACATGCACATAAGAGTTAGAGGTGCTGGTTTTAGGGGGCGATTGTGGGTTTTTGGAGAGTCTGGTGAATGTAATCTCTCTCACTTTGTAGATGTTTCTATTGATATGCCAGACCTACTTGATATCAACCATCTCCGAGCCAGGGGGTTACAGCCAGGAGAGGAGGAGCTTCCGGACATCAGCCCCCCTATAGTCATTCCTGATGACTCAAAAGGTACCACCGTCTGCCAGGAGGATGTTCTCTTACCCCTCTCCCCACCCCACCCCCAATGGAAGAGTCTCTTCTCTTCCACCAGTCTGTCGTCCCTTGGCCATCTTCCTGTGTTGTAACCCACTGTAGATGCACAGTAGTGAGGCCTGGCCGCAACTGTAAACTTAAGGTAGACATGGGAAGAGGCACAGATCCGTCATGAGTAGTTGAAACGGACCTGCAGAAATCACTGGCAATAGGGGGCAGCAAATCTCCAAAGAAGTTTTTAGGTTAGGTTGCATCTGGCTTCCCCTCCCTCCCTCCCTCTCCTTCCTGCAAATAAATGGGCCTGTAGGGAAAAGAAGGAGTGTGTTTTCAGTAGGCTCTCAATCTTGAGGAGCTGTGTCATCTTGGGAGTGCCTCTGGACAACCCGAAGGGAAAATTCAATAGTGTGTGTTAGTTTTAAAAATCTTGACCACATTTCACCTCCCCAGCTTTGTCACTGCTTCATAGCAAGGCTGTAGTTTGCCCTGTGAAGGCTTAATTTTTGTTCAGAATACTTAACTTTTTAAGGGAAAAGGACATGCAGAAAATAATTGTTTCACTTTTGTGGATCCAAGGACAGTGTCAAAAAATCTCGGTTTCATTTTTAGCTCAGTTACTGATGCAATCATTTCATTCTGGTTTCATTTGCTCACCTGTTTACTTACTGTTCACCTTTTTAATCAGTTAATTAGGTCAATTAATAGTGATAGAGCACACTGGGCCTCTCTTCCAAAGGTTTCTCATCAGTTGAGCATTGAATATTATTGGTGACCATGTTCAGGTGCAAGAGAAGGGTAAGGTGAATCCAGGAGGATTCAAGATAGGCACCTGTGTTCCATTATTCTCGGACGTTAAGTCAGATGTTAAATTGTAGAGTATGGAGAGTAGAGAAGGGACCTGTACGTGGGACACTCTGGGTTATGTGGTACGAGTGGTCCATTAAAGGGTCCAGAGAACAGAGGAGCATCGGAGGAGTACAGGATGGTTTATTCGCACTGCTCCTGCTTTCTCTGATGTTCTTAACAGAATCCTTGGTTTGTAATTATACAGAGTCCTTAGAAATACAGGGAGATAAATTATTTAGTTCATTAAGTTGATTAAGACATGACAGAGCATCATGTCTTATCTGGTTGAAATCCCTGAGACCTGTTTATTTTCACTCCCTACTGTAATGATTTCATGTTGTACAGGCTGGGCGGTGTGTGGGGTGGGGTTGCTGAGGGGTTGACAACAGTGTGGGATCCCTAGGGGTGAGGGATTAGGGATTGCCCTGCATGGACTCTTTTTCTTTCTCTAAAACTCTTTGCCATGCTTTGGTCTCATTCTCTGCCTCTCCGTTAATTTCCAGATCGCCTGATGAACCAACTCATAGACCGTATGTATCTTTCGAAATTTTTCTCAGTGTCCTGCAGTTGTCATTGGTCTGACATTTATCTGTGGGAATTCAGTAAAGGGGCATTGTTCTCTACATGTGCAGCTTTTCCTGGGTGGGAGTGATTCTTTGTCTGCAAGCTGAGTTAGCAGCAAATGTAAACCAGTGACATGATGATTAAGCGGCTCTGTGGCTCAGGAGAGTGATCATCAGCATGAAAGCCAACCAGCCCCAGACTGGAAACTCGGCCCTGCTGTTTATGACTGCAAGCTAGAAAAATTTACTTAACTTCTCTGAGCCTTAGTCTCCGCATGTGTGAAGGTGGGCTCGTGATGCCATTTCTTCCCACTCTGGCCACGAGTAGGGCTCTTTATGCAGTGATGGCACAGTGGCCAGGCCTTTTTTCCATTCCTGCTGCTGGACATGTAGTGATGGCTCATGACTGACAGGACATGGTAGCATTGATTAATACTCTCAAGGTTCGTAGTGTCATTGGATTGTATGTTAATTTTATAGACTTTTAGTTCCTTAATCCTGTAGGAGTTGGTACTCTTGGTTTTCTGAAAAGAACACAATAAACTATTTATGGTGAGTATTTAGGTATTAATTAGGAGGAAGGGGGAGTGTTTAACACTAAATACTCTGAATCTTTTTGTCTACAAAGCCCTTCCAGAGACAAACTATTGTTAATTTAGAAGTTCATGTGTTGGGTATTAAAGAGGGCACGTACTGAATGGAGCACTGGCTGTTATACACAAACAATGAATCATGGAACACTACATCAAAAACTAATGATGTAATGTGTGGTGATTAACATAACATAATAAAATAAAATTAAAAAAAGAAGTTCATGTGTTTTACATTGCAAATGATGGATCATGTGGCTTAGACCTCCACATTTCCTTTCCTTGGTCGATTATGATTTGTTCATTGCTAGAAGCTTTTAGGGTCAGCGAGGGTCTTGGGAAAATCATTGCCTCTGTGAATAATCTAATTATAATAATAACAGTGGTTGTTAATACTTTGGAATGGTTACCATGAGTCATACTGCGTTTATTATTTCATAAATTCTTTCAATAGTATATAACTTTACTGTTCATATAAAATCCAGATTCTCATTTGATTATCACAGTAAGAAGGGCAGGGTAGGTAACCTTTTACAGAGTATAAAACTGAGACTCAGGAAACTTCAGAGACCCAAGAGCTGGGACCAGAACCTGGGCTGGGAGTCAAGTGTGCTTTTTATGCCGCTTGACCTTTTCTGGAATGTGAGAGGTTTGCTTGCTGCTCCTGATTCTGCAGAGAGCTGGCCTGCAGATTGCTCTGGGGGAGGTGATGGGTGGTTAGCACTGACTGTGCTGGAGGAGTCTGTCTCTGACCAGGAGCACTGACACAGGAGCAGGAAACCCAGGTTTCCAGGGTTCATGGTTTGGCCATTGATTTCCTCCCAGATCTAAGCCTGCTGTCTTATCAGCAGCTACCTGTACTCAACAGGAGAAAATAGAATTATCTGAGATTGTTTAACATTTGCATCCTACCTTTCTCAGATTTTTAAAGAACAACTTTAATTATTTTCTTATTATGAGAGTAAAAAGATACTTACAAACTATGGGTTAGCAGTAAGAGTCATTCATGGTTTCATCAGTCATCTATAACCATTGTTAACACTTGGTGTATGTCTTTCCACTGGCCTTTGCCTGTGCCTGGCTCACTTTATTTTTCTCAAAAATGGAATTATATGTTTTCAATCTAATATGTTATTAGAGACACACATAACCATTTATTGACCTGCACTTCTTAAATTGCATTGTAGGGAACATGAGAATCTTACAAGATGTTGAAAGGTGTTCTGTAGAAAGAGTTTCCTAGCTTCCTTAACTGTAGGAGTCTTTATGACAGGATTTTTGAGTCTTCACTATGCTAATGCACATTGTGAATTTCTAAGGGGAGAATAGAGAATGTGGATTTTAAAGCTTCTTTGGCCATGGAAACCCCTTGTTTTGTGGTTCAATAATGACATTTCTCTTAGAACATCAGGCTATCATAGAACACAACTTGGGAATCACTGCTGTCCTAAATCATTGCTTTCTTAAAATTTGGTCTTGAAAGGATGTTCTCTGTATCTTCCTTGTAAGAGAGAAGTTTGATGAACACATTTTCTTTTTCTTTTTAGAAAGAGAGAGTGCTGGCTGGGGGTGGGGGTGGGGTTGGTGAGAGGAGGGGCAGAGGGAGAGGGAGAGAGAGAATCTTAAGCAGGCTCCATGCCCAGCATGGAGCCCAGGGCGGGGCTTGATCTCACGACCCTGAGATCATGACCTGAGCTGAAATCAGGAGTCAGATGCTTAACTGACTAAGCCACCCAGGCGCCCTGATAAACACATTTTCAATGTAGTTTTTATAGAACAGATATCTCTAATCCTCAGTTCTACTGCTACTATTCAGTTCTACTAATTGCCGTCTTTGGCAGAATTTTCAGTAGACTAGAGACCTCAGGATGTGGGAAAAAAAGGGATATCTTTTGTGCTCCTGTTCCCCTCCAGTTGTTGGATAATTTGAGAGCACAATGCAGGTATATATACATGTATGTGTATACATAAAAGCACACGTATGTATATACATGTACAAATGTGTATACATGAAACATAACAGGTGTATGTATATATACACACATATACGTGTGTATTATAGAACGTGTATATGTATGTACACACATACGTGTATATACACACATGCCTATAGGTTTTTATGTATATTTTGTACATTATGTATACATACATACATGTGCTTATATGCATCCATGTATGCATACACATACACACAGACACATACATCTCCACCAATATCTACATATCATTATGAAAAGAAAAGAAAACAAAACCCTCTATGTCTAGGCCCACATTAGGTTTTTAAAGCTATCTCTTTTAATATCTTAAATGTATACCATTACAGAACATATTCTGTCCTTCTGTACTTAACATTTGGGTTCTCCATTTCCCAGAGCTGATTACTTCCTTTGCTGATATACCTAAAGGCCTGGCATAACTTCCTGCGAGATTTAAGGAATAGGCTTTGCGCTTGTGGATAATGCTTTTCTCTTCAGATTTCAGTGATAGGAGAGGCCGCTGTAGGAGAGGTCTTGAGAAGGATCTGAGAGGCTGGAATGGTTCTGGGAATACACTCAATCTCCCCATATAAAATTAAGGAATTGTTTTTCAGTGCTTGGATTGTCCAGGTCATTACTGTGGTTCCAATTTAGGTCAAAGATATTTAAGCTCAAATAGCTTAATATTTGGATGAATTCAAACAAAACAAAGTTAAACCACCATTTATACACCCCCCAGAAATAGCACTTTCTTTGGATAGCATGTGGCTAGTGGATGAGGAGAAGCTAGGACGAGGAGAAAGAGAGTTTACGTTTTACGAGGGTTCATGTTTTTACACCAGAGTATTCTGTTGTGCTCCGTAGCCTCAGACATTGATGAGTCATCAGTGATGCAGCTGGCTGAGATGGGTTTCCCTCTAGAAGCATGTCGGAAGGCTGTGTACTTTACTGGAAATATGGGAGCTGAAGTGGCCTTCAACTGGATCATTGTTCACATGGAAGAGCCAGGTGAGTGGTCAGAAGAGGGGATAGCTTTGGAGTCTGATGTGATCCTAAGTGATGCTAAGCCTTGGTCCTTCGATGTCCTCTGAATGGGTCCCAGAAAATGACATTTAACTCATAATTTAGCTTCTTAGCTCGCTTTTTTTTGGCCCTCATAATTTACACTTTCAGCTCACTTTTTCTCTGCTGCAATGGGGTGGGGTCACTTTGCTTGTGGCGCAAAGTCACAATGTTCATCTTTACTCTTTTTTTTTTTAAATAATAGCTTTCTTGAGATATAATTCACCCTTTTAAAGTATATAATTTAGTGGCACAAAGACCACTGGGAAGATGTGGGATATACAGGCACATGTCAGAGATGTTGCTAGCTCAGTCCCAGACCACCACAGTAGAGTGAGTATCACGATAAAGTGAGTCCAATGAATGTTTTGGTTTCCAGTGCATAGAAAAGTGATGTTTACACCATACTGTAGTCTATTAAGTGTACAATAGCATTGTGTCTAAAAATGTACATACCTTAATTGAAAAATACTTTGTTTTTGCACATTGATTGACTCTTCCTTTCACAAATGGTTGCTCTATAGCATGTGATGTTATTTGATGGAATTTCTCTCACAGTAGAACTTCTTTGAAAATTGGCATCAGTCCCCTCAAACCCTGCTGCTGTTTTATCAATTAAGTTTATGTCATATTTTAGGTCTTTTGTTGTCATTCAACAATCTTCATAGCATCTTCACCAGGAGTAGATTCTATTTCAAGAAACCACTTTCTTTGCTTAGCCATAAGAAGCAACTGCTCATCTGTTAAAGTTTTATCTGGAGATTGCAACAACTCAGTCCCTCCTTCAGGCTCCACTTCTAATTCCAGTTCTCTTGCAATTTCCACCACATCTGCATTGACTTCCTCCACTGAAGTCTTGAACCCCTCTAAGTCACCCATGAAGGGTGGAATCTTCTTCCAAACTGCTGATAATGTTGATATTTTGAGCTCTTTCCTATGCATCACAAAATGTTCTTAATGGCATCTAGAATGGCGAATTCTTTCCAGAAGGCTTTCAGTTTACTCTGCCAGATCCATCAGAGGAATCTGTGGCAGCTACAACCTTACAAAATGTATTTCTTAAATAGTAAGACTTGAAAGTTGAGATCACTCCTTGATCCATGGGCTACAGAATGGATGTTGTGGTAGCAGTCATGAAAGCAACATCAATCTCACTGTTCATCTGTATCAGAGATCTTGGGTCACCAGGTGCATTGTCAGTGAGCAGTCATATTTTGAAAGGAATTTTTTTTTCTAATCAGGAGGTCTCGATAGTGGCTTAAAATATTCAGTAAACTGTGTTATAAACAGATGTGCTGTCATCCAGGCTTTGTTGTTCCATTTCTAGAGCAGAGGCAGAGTGGATTTAGCATAATTCTTAAGGGCCCAAGGATTTTTGGAATGGCCACTGAACATTGGCTTCAACTTAGTCACCAGCTGCACTGTCCCCTAACAAGGGAGTCCGACTGTCCTTTTACGCTTCGAAGCTAGGCATTGACTTCTCCTCTCTAGCTATGAAAGCCCTAGATGGCATCTTCTTCCAATAGAAGGCTATTTTGTCTGCATTGAAAATCTGTTGTTTGGTGTAGCCACTGTCTTTATTTACCTTAGCTAGGTCTTCTGGGTAACTTGCTGCTTCACCTTGTACATTTATGTTATGGAGACAGCTTCTTTCCTTCAACCTTGTGAGCCTTCCCAGCCTTTGTAGATTGAAGAGAGGGAGGGCTTTGCTCTAGACTAGGTTTTGGTTTCAAGGAAATGTTGTGGCTGGTTTGATCTTTTGTCTAAACCACTAAACTTTCTCCATATCAACAGTGAAGCTGCTGTGCTTTCTTATCATTGGTGTGTTCACTGGAGGAGCACTTTTAATTTCCTTCAAGAATTTTTCCTTTGCCTTTACAATTTGGCTGTTTGGTGTAAGTGGTCTAGCTTTTGGCTTATCTCAGTTTTCAATATGCCCTCCTCTCTAAGATTAATCATTTTAGCATTTGAGTTAAAGTGAGAGATGTGTGACTCTTCCTTTTGCTTGAACATTTAGAGGTCATTGTATGGTTATTAATTGGCCTAATTTCAATATTGTGTCTCAGGGAATAGGGAAGCCCAAGAAGAGGGAGACAGGGAAATGGCTGGTCAGTGGATTAAGTTTGCTGTCTTATATGGGTGTAGTTTGTGGTGCCCCAAAACAATTACCATAGTAACATCAAAGATCACACATCACAGATCACATAATATTCTAATAATGAAAAAGTTTGAAATACAGTGAGAATTACCACAATGTGACACAGAGTCATGCAGTTAGCAAACGTTGTTGGAAAAATGGCACCAATAGGCTTGCTTGACAAAGAGTGGCCACTAGCCTTCTATGTGTAAAAAGTGCATTATCTACAAAGTGCAATCACTTTTTTACATTCTGCCACAATGTGTGAGGGTTCCAGTTTCTCCACATCCTCACCAACCTTTGTTGTTATTGTTTTTATTATAGCCATTCCAGTGGATGGGAAAGTGGTAGCTCATGGTGGTTTTCATTTGCATTTCCCTGACGACTAATGATGTGTAGAGCATCTTTCCCTGTGCTTGCGGGTAATTTATGTATCTTTGGAGAAATGTCTGTTCAAATCTGTTGCCCGTTTTTAAGGAAGTTATTTGTCTTTTTATTGTTGAGTGTTCTTTTCATATTCTGAATACAAGCACCTTACCGGATACATGATATGCAACTTATGTTCTCTCATTCTGTGAGTGTTTCTTGATGGCATTTTTGAAGCACAAAAGCTTTTAGTTTTGATGAAGTCAAATTTATCTATGTTTTTCTTTTGTCACTTGTGCTGTTGGTGTCAAATCTGAGAAACATTGCCTAACCCAAGGTCTCTCGCATTGAAGTCAGGGAGCCGTTTTGAGTTAATTTTTGAATATGGCCTGAGGTGGGCGTCCAGCTTCATTCTCTTGCATGTGGGCATGTACTTGTTCCAGCACCATCTGTTGAGAAGACTGCCCCGACCCCATTGGAATGGCCTCGGTACCCTTGTCAAAACTCAGTTGACCATAAATATGTGGGTTTATTTTTGGACTTTCTGAATTCCATTCAGTTGATCTATAGGTTTATCCTTATGTCAGTACCAACTGCCTTCATTATTATAACTTTGTAGGTGTTTTTCCTTTTAACTCCATGGTGTTGTTTATTTCAAGACTAAAAAAAGTAAAGGGTCTGAGTGTGATTCTCCTCCCCAGATTTTGCTGAACCACTGACCATGCCTGGTTATGGAGGAGCAGCTTCTGCTGGAGCCTCTGTTTTTGGTGCTACTGGATTGGACAACCAACCTCCGGAGGAAATTGTAGCTATCATTACCTCCATGGGATTCCATCGAAATCAGGCTGTTCAGGCACTACGAGCCACGGTGAGCACATGAGACTGTGTGTGAGAATACCCTCCTCTTCCTGGAGTCGGTGTGTATTTCTGTCAGTAGCAGTGGAGATTTTCCAGTGTCCTTTGATCATTTGGAATCATGTTTGTTCACTCTGTACCCCACCATGGCCCACAGAGATTTATTTGCATATATTCCATGTACAGCTAAAATAAATGATTGGGGGAAATTATACAGTTTAAGAATAGGGAGTAAAAAAAAAACCTAGGGAGATAATTCAGCTGGGGCAAGATGAAAGAAACCGAAAGACCAAAACCAAAAGAAACTCCCTATCATCTGAGTGTTTATTATTAGCAGGGCTCCAAGATTTGACTTGGAGCTTCCTTGTGGCCTTGGAGTGGAGAGGGATGCATGAGACTCCATGTTCAATAAGGCAGTTCTTTAGGACAAATTTTGCTTTTCTGATACCAAGACCTTGGAGAAATGTCTCTCAGAAGTCCTCAAAGAGAAGACTGAACAGCTCTGGGAATTCTCCACTTTTGTGACTGTGGAGGGAGAAGATTCTTCTGGTATTCATGTACTTCCTGATGTTATCAGGAGAGAAGGGACCATGAAACTAGAGGGTAGATAGAAGTCTTCCTCTTTCAGTGCAGTTGTTTGTTTAATATTAAAGGGAAGTTCTTGTTTGTTTTTTTTTTAAACCCATCCTTCCTTGCCACACCGTATATGTTTTTGAGTGGATGTCTGCTACTAATTCTTGCTTACCTAATGTCCTTAGGATGTCCTTACTAATTCCTGACCGGTTGCCTGTGAGGGTCCATTGTTGAGGGCGTAGTAGCTCTCAGCTGACTCCGGGAGTGTGGCTGGAACAATCCGTTTCCCTTTAATGTGCTTGAACTATCTCAAGCAGACTTAGTTTCATTCAGTGTACTTGCTTTGCCCCACTTATTTTTCTTGACTGACTTTTCATTGGCGATTCTGTTGATGTCTAAGCAGACTTTTTAACCTGCCCGTGATATCACAGAGGAAGATAGCAATGTTTTTAGTCAATTGGTTTGAACTGCAGAGTTAAGTTTAAAACAATGTACCTAACTAACCAGTATTGTCATCATCAATCAAGGCGTTAATCTTGTCTCTACTGCAATTCAAGAATTCTGCTAATGTTTAGGGAGAGGAGGCACTAATGCGGCTCTCTTGTTGGCCCCCCCTCTGCCCGGCATAGTTCTCTGCAGAAAACACAGGTGATAGGGAATGTAGCATGTGCAGCTAGTATGGCCGAGAAAGGGCTGTATTAAACAAATGGCGGACTCTTTGGTGTTCCGTACCCCATCATTAGCATCAGCCTGCAGAAACGCTGAGCTCAGACTGATATGGACTTTGGAACGCTGGTCTGCTGCTCAGAACTGTTTTCCAGTAAATCCAATTACAGACCTCAGTTGGGAGACTCGGAGAATGCAAGCTGAATGTGCATTTCATATGCAGGGTCAGAGCTTCGCACTCAGAGGCACTTAGGACTAATGAATTCAGGCCGCCTGTCTTATCTGCTTGACACTCTGGTTCAAGTGGTCAGGATATAATGAGGCCCTGGGACTGCATACATTGTAAAAATGTTTTATTTTATTAGAATAATAACCTGGAAAGAGCACTGGATTGGATCTTTAGTCACCCTGAGTTTGAGGAGGACAGTGACTTTGTGATCGAGATGGAGAATAACGCCAATGCCAACATTATTTCTGAGGCCAAGCCTGAAGGACCTAGAGTCAAGGATGGATCTGGAAGTAAGTTCTTTCCTTAGGGATTGTCTGAGCATTTGTGACCATACATTTGGCCCATGCCCTTCCCTCCCACCACTCATCTTAAAACCTTTGCCATCATCCAAAAGTTAGCACAGATCCCACCTTCTTGTAAATGGTGCATTTTTCTTCTTTGCATGGCCATGGTGATCTGAAGAAGTCTGGGACAAACTCAGAGTCATGTTGCCTAGAAGTGTGTGTGTGCTTACTTCTAGTCCTGCTGTCACTTTGCCATTCCTTTGAGATACTTTTTTTTTCACGGACCATAGAAGTTTTTGTCCAAAAGAGAACATTTACTTTCATGGTAGTATTTTTTTTTTTTTTTTGAACGGCTGAAAAACAGCCTTATATCCTTGACCCTGTCATTGACCATACCAGCTGCTGATAATTTTCTGAAGGGCCAATCAAGATGGCAGGAAGAGGCACCAACAGCCAGTTATCTACCTTTTTTTTAATTTTTTTTAGTAATCTCTACACCCAATGTGGGGCTCGAACTCACAACCCCAAGATCAAGAGTAGCATAGCTCTCTACCTTTTATCAGCAAACACGTGTGTCACTGCGCACCAGGCGCTGGTTCTAAGAACTTTGCATATGAACTCTCATTTAGTCTTTAACACATCTCTTGTCCATGTGAGAAAACAGAGGCACAGAAAGATTAGGTACCTTGCCCAAGGTCACACAGCTCTTACGAGTTGGAGCCAAAATTCAAATCCAGAATCCCGTGTTCTTCCCCATTGTGATGCCCTGCTTCTTGGGCCGTCACTGCCTCCAGAAAGTGTTTCGGCTTGTTAGCCTGGTATTCGTCACCTCCTCCAGGCAGATGCCAACGTGACTCGTCTTTCAGTGTCATTTCTTCTGGCCCTCCGCACCCCAGTTCAGACGCCTGGGACCGTAGCCACACCACCAGCCTCGTCGGGGCGCTAACCCCCTTCTTCCTACTTCTAGGCCTGTGCTCAGGATAATCTTTGATTGTGAAATGCCCTTTCTCTCTCATCACTGCACACGAAAATCCTTACCATTATTCACAACTTGGCCACAGATTCCATTCCACGGATTGCTCTCCCAGGGCCTTCAGAACGAGTGCTCCGTATCTCATGCTAGTGATAATTATACCAACATTAACAGTGCTTCCATCTGTGCTACATATAATCCTCACAATAATCCTATGAGGTGTAGATATCATTATTATCTCCATTTTATAGGTGAAGAGACTGAAGTAGAAGAGAAGGTTAAGTCTGTTAAGGTTACATAGCTAGCTAGTGATGGGTAGAATTGGCATTCCAACCTGGGTAGTCTGCCTCCAGAGCTTGTGCCTGAAGCCCCTAAGACATAGTGTTTATTCTTCTGTTATTAGAAGTATCAAATTCAGGGGCGCCTGGGTGGCTCAGTTGGTTAAGTGTCCAACTCTTGATTTCGGTCAGGTCATGATCTCAGGGTCATGAGATCAAGACCTGCATTGAGCTCCCACTCAGCAGGGAGTCTGCCTGAGATTTGCTCTCACCCTCTGCCCCTTCCCTGCTCATGTTCTTTCTCTCTCAAATAAATAAATAACTCTTAAAAAAAAAGAAGTATCCAATTCATCTTGCAATAAAATTATTTATTTGTTTATTTTTAAAAGATTTTATTTATTTATTTGACACAGAGAGAGAGACAGCGAGAGAGGGAACACAAGCAGGGGGTGAGGGAGAGGGAGAAGCAGGCTTCCCGCCGAGCAGGGAGCCCGATGCAGGACTCGATCCCAGGACCCTGGGATCATGACCTGAGCCAAAGGCAGAAGCTTAACGACTGAGCCACCCAGGCGCCCTGCAATAAAATTATTTATGTAAATATTTGTGTTTCCTATTTGGGAACTTGCGAAGGGCAGGTACTATTTTACTATTATAAGGCTCATGGTGTCTAACACACAGAAAGTACCAAGTAAAAAATAACTGGATTTAATTAAATTTACATTTGCAGGGGTGCCTGGGTGGCTCAGTTGGTTGGGCATCTGACTCTTGATTTCAGCTCAGGTAATGATCTGAGGGTCAGGAGATCGAGCCCCATGTCAGGCTCTGTGTTGGGCATGGACCCTGCTTGAGATTCTCTCCATCTCCCTCTACCCCTCCCCCTTGTGCTCTCTCAGAAAAAAAATTTTTTTTTTTTTTTACATTTGCAGCATTTGTTCCAGTAATCATATAGCTGTAGCTCTCATTAATGGTCTACTCATTATCAGTCTTACCAGATCTAAAATGTATGTTTTGATCTACCTCTAGAGACAGAGGGTGGGAGGGAAACTTTCTTCTTTTATATAAAACAGGAATTTCTTCACTGAAACTATCATAATCCTGACCGGGTAAAAAAAGATGAGATATAGCTCTCCCAGCTTCCATATTCATCTAAATGGTCTTGTATTACTTTTTGGAAATCAGTGACTTGCCTAAAATATTAAAAGCTGTAATGGATGTTATTGAATAATTCATGAGCAGGATTTATTATGTGTTGCATGTCTCGGTTCACTGCTTCTTTGATTTTCTGTAATGGACTTTTCTTTGGGGATGGGGAGTCCTCCTTGCAGAAGGAATAAACCACACGATGGGGCCATTGTAAAGCTGCCAAGATCTATGGTTGTAGAAAGAGGGTGAGTCTGATCATTAGGTTTTCCTGTTTTCTGATGGAGCTTGGAGGGACCAGCCACTCTCGTGAAGATAGTCATTAATGATATGGAGTAGCCACATCATCCCCTTGGGCTTACTGAACTCAGAGTGATCTTCCGGTACTCCTGGTACCGGACCCTGCTGCTTTTTGAGTTGCATCCTTGAATGGGATGTCACAATGATGCTTTCAAGCACCCTTTAATTTAAAGGCACTGTGAGCCAAACTCAGCAGTCTCACTCTTCACTGCCTCCACATTTAGGGTGAGGGTGGAGAAGGAGACAGAGATGCGCTGTAAGACATCAAGTATAGGATATACTGAAGCCAAGAGCAGTGGTAGGTGAAAATTTTAATTATCAAAAACCAAAAGAGCATAACGTACCCTAACTCACCAAATGCATTTTGTGTCTGATTTTTAAGAGGAATGGATGTTTTTAAAGTAGTCTTTCCAGCACTGTGCCTTGTCTACCAGAGGTGATCAGAAAATGAATGATTGAATAAAGAATAGATGAAGATCAGGAGGTAGTGGTCACAGGGATGGTTTTGGGCTGACTCCAGAAGTGCCAGATGGAGGAATTGGGAGTGCACTATTTTGCATTACATTGCATAAGTCACAGGAAAGGAAAAAGGTGATTTCTTGTACTTTGCTGCATTAGCACCTGAACTCGTATGTCAGTCACTTCTTTTTTTTTTAAATTAACATTTATGTTATTTTTCTTATAATTAAAAGGGTATTTAATAATTGTAATAACTTGAGAAAATGCAGATATATGAGAAGAAGAAAATAAAAATTACTTCCATGTAATTCCCAGTCATAGCCACTGTTAATGTCTTGTGTATATTCTTTAGGCCTTTCTATGCAAATATAAAATGAATGTAAATATGAATATTTATAAAAATAAAACATTCTATTCTATACATGCTATTTTTTTAAGATTTTATTTATTTATTTGAGAGAGAGAGAGAGCACAAGCAAGAAGGGTAGAGGGAGAGGGAGAAAGAAGCTCAAGCAGACTCCATGCTGAGCAAGGAGCTGGAGACCGGGCTTGATCTCATGACTCTGAGATCATGACCTGAGCCAAAACCAAGAGTTGGCCGCTTAACCGACTGAGCCACCCAGGCGCCCCTATACATGCTATTTTATAAATGCTATTTTATAACCTGCTTCCCCCTAACTGTGGATATACATATATGTATGTCTAGATCACTGAATGTATATTAATAATATCCCATTGTATAGCGGTACCGTAATTTATATACCTGATTTTAGGCCAACTAATTTTTTTTTAATAAAAGACGATTACAGAAAGAGTTTCAGATAATGGGGCTATTTTTACATTCAGAAGATGACAGCAATTATTATTATTATTATTATTATTATTTTAAAGATTTTATTTATTTGAGAGAGAGGAGAGAGCACAAGCAGGGGGAGGGGCAGATGGAGAGGGAGAGGGAGAAGCAGACTCCCCACTGAGCAGGGAGCCCAATGTGGGGCTCCATCCCAGGACCCTGAGATCATGACCTGAGCTGAAGGCAGACGCTTAACCGACTGAGCCACCCAGATGCCCCACAGCAATTATTATTATTTTTTAAAATTT